CCAGCATGAGTTTAAACAAACCTGAAACTACTGCATGAGTAATTAAGCAAACAAATTTACTGGGTCATAGATGACAAATAACCAAGGACATGGTCATATTCCATTCTGAATAATTATTCTATGTCATAACTATTTCTTGTGTATCTTCAGCTACAGGCTCTATGGAACCAAGATAGGACCTAAATTTCTGATGTCAAGAGCCACTTAAAGATTGCTTATTGCGAATGACTTTCACCAGCTCCTCCTCATTTCTGCCAGATGACAACTAGCTTAAGCTTTTTGACAAGCACTGGCTGGCAATTGTTTCCTCTTGCAAGCAATGGGTAACCATTGCACATCAACAATATTCAGTTAATGTAATCTGCATGAAATAGCCTTAATTCCCAGGCAGATACATTCTGTGCTAAATATATATCTTGAAAAGTTTAAAGGTAGAGCCCACTTTTTCAGAGTATACTGCAGTATTGAGTATTCCAGCTTTAAAAATCATAAATAGCTTGTGGTATACAAAAATGAAGGACACCATTTTTCAATCGAGAATAAATAATGAAAATAATTTTTCATGGTCTCTGATATTCACAGTATAGTGGACTCTAGAAGAGCTCTACATTGGGAATTTAAGCAACAAATAGTCTTGTTTTTTTCTTCCAGAAAAAATGCCTTTCAGCATGTTCCACCCTTGGCACACAGTTTCAGCAGCAGTCAGAAACTGCTGTTGATGATATGAAAATATAATTGGAAAAAAAAAAAGGAAAAGATGATCTATATTATATGCTTTCATGGTACTGGGATATAGCCAAAATAGAGAAAGTTTTTGACAGGGAGAGATGAAAAGTGAAAAAAATAGTAAAAGAACAGAGAAGTGCATTTTGCAACATTTAGCAAGCTACCTGGCAAGCAGAGCTACTTGGCAAGTTTAAATTAAATTTCAGAGACAGTAAAGCCATGAATAAGATGTTACCCTCTTCCAGTTAGAGTCTGTTTTGAAGACCATTACAGAGTTGTATAATTATTCCACAAATAACTGTAAAACCTCCTTTTTTTCAGTGCAATCAATTGAATATCTCTCAGAAGAATCACAATCACTTTAAAAAAAGTATATATAATGAATGGGATTGGATACTGTAATGAAATTTGTAGTCAGATTAATAAAATGTAAATTTACTCTAGGGTGAAAGATAGGTAACTGTCACAGAATCACCCATGGCCTGCCTAATCAACATAATAGCCAGACAGATTTCTCTGTGACATCACGGGAAATTTAAGGTGAGTAATGAGGAAATAAAAGAGATTATAATGAAAGTTACCCTATCACACATGTAGCTAGATCTGAAAACAAGACAGCGCCTTTTAATCTTGAGTTGCCTTGGATTTTGTTGTACACAGCGCCTTTTAATCTTGAGTTGCCTTGGATTTTGTTGTACACATTTCCTGTTATATTTTTTTGCGTCTTTGTCCAAGGACTCCTATATGCTCACATAGGGTTTACAGACCTTCTCTATCTACTGCTAACATTAAAATATTGGAAAATTTTAGAAATTTTTTATAAAGATTGTAATTGTCCCAGGTTTGAAATTAACTGGGGGAGGGAGGGGAAAAAAAAAGTGAAAACTTGAAAGAGGGAAAAACCATTATAGCTGAACAGCAAAATACAGATTGTGATGTGAATACATACGTAAACACTGAGGTACTTCACCACTCCATGTTCCATTCCCAACACAAGTCAAAACAGCAGGAAAAGAGAGTTCATATCCTGGAGAGCAGACATAGCTAATGCTAAATCCCCAGTCCAAGTTTGTTCCTTCCAACCTTCCATTAGAGATCTGCGGAGGAGTTGGGCAGGTAACAGCTGCAATAATATTCAAAGTAATTAGGCCCAGCTGCTGTAAATATCCCCGATGTACACAATTACTAGAAGAACCATATGGGCTAATTTCACCTTTTTTTAGAGGACAATACAGTCAGGGCATGCTTTCTCACTGTATTCTTGCCACATTTCCTGAAGTTAGTATGTCTGGTTTCCTTCATTTAGGAGGCAGTGGATGATTGATGAAGTGTCTTAAATAAACCAGGATGCTGCATCAAACCAAATAAGAAGACTACCTAAAAATCAGTATGGAAACTATGACGTGTATGATATTTCAGAAATGTCTGGTAATCTACTACAAAATTTTTTTTGTCTGTTAAGACAACATAGAGTACAACCATATTTTATTAGTGTGGAAATAATAAAATATTTTCTTCCTGTTGACCATCTTAGGCATTTGCTAGATTTAATGTGTAGGGATGAAATTCCAGGACAACTGTTCCAAAATATTACTTGAAAGGCTGTTTCTAAGTAACACAGTTTGGTTACTATTTGCTTTGTGAATAGTTCATCACCAAAAAGCATCCAGCTGCTAGAGAGAGGGAGAAAATGTAAGGATTTGCAATTCTTTGAAACTGTAAATATTGCTGCCTCTGAGAAGGCCAACAAGAAGTATTTCAGTATATTTTCTAAATTGCCAGGACTCCTAGGAAGAAATAGAAACATTTTCTATTCAGTTGTAGGCAAGAGGACTGAAAAACTGTACAGGAAGGCAGTAGAAATAAAGATATACAACTGTTGAGACAAAAATAAAAGTGTTACTCACTGGATAGTGGTGTAGTAACAGACAATTTCTAATTAAATGCTTAAAGGGAAAAAATATTAAAGAAATGAAATTAAAGAAAATCTGAATCAAAAAGAGAAAGGATGAAATTTAGACAGGTTGACAGAATGAACAAGATAGACAAAAATGTAAACTGTGCTGGCAAAAGAGAAAGAAAGCAAATAAACTAATACAATTTAATCTGGTAAAGCCAGCTGGGATAAATGAGAAGATGTGGTAATTAAAAATTGAGCAGAGAATGCACAGGTCACAAAAATGGAGGAAGTTAAATGCTGTACCCCTAAGCTTTAAACTAATGTTTAGAACAGCTGTCATCTTGCAAGCTTAAAAGAATTCACTGGGTAATGAACAATAAGCAACCTGCAGAGGGTTCACTATGTACCATTTCTCTATTCTTTTTATTCTCTTCAGCGAGTATCTCAATTATGTAGACCATAAAGATACTTTACAGCACCATTTGTGGCTGTTTGAGAATATAGTTTCAAATAATCCTTTGCCAGCCAGTAAATGAAATCTAGTTTTTGGGGTCTTGGTTTTGCTCCAGAAAGGGACATGATAGCTTTTGCTACACTTCTATGATGTTTTAATAAAAGTAATTCAAAATAAGTGCTCTAAGCAGCAGGATTCTGTCTTCATTCTCAAAGAGCTCACAAACAGTATATCTAAAAGGGTCTGTATATTTTAACTTCTTAGCTGACTAAGGAAGGAAATACCAGTGAATAATTAGGAAAGGAGACGAGAAGTAGAAGAAAATAGATGGAACATCAGAATTTTCTGGTGAGAAAAGGAAAACAAAACCATAGCCAGCAACAAACCAGAAAGCTTCTCTATTTTGGTAAGAGAGTTAGGCATAAATATGTACCACAACATTCTCAGTTTAAGAACTACAAGTATACAAATGCAAGTCTGCAAAAAAGACAATGTCAGAATATTTGAATATTAAGTTGCAGATGAACATGCATCCTTTTCCAATTTGGCACAGCAGAGCAGTATTTATATCTTCTCTTTCAATGGCACAGTGACAATTATGCATGTGTTTTCTGCCCAGTTCATTTTCCAATTATTTTAACTAAATAGTACCAAAGGACCCTGGCACTTCATTCTGACAGTAAAAACTAATTGCTATACATTTTACACTACTGCATGTTATATATTATTTTAATTACACTATTAACTTGTCTAGTGTACTTACAAAAACTAATTTAAAGTAGAATAAAATTTTGAAAACACCAGACATTCTTCATAGGATTATTAATTATCATTTATACAAGCCTTAAATGTGCATGACCCAAACCCAGAAAGACTCAAAAACTCAAAATTGATAGTAAAATTCTTTTTTTTTTTTTGGCATGATTCTGTTTGAATCAATTCAGAGTTAGATCTCCTGGTCCCAATTAGGTGTCCTGTATACCATAAGAATTTGAGGCTGAGAGATTTTATCATAAATACTTGTTCTGTCTTATGATCCTCTAGCTGTTGACTGAGACTCTCGGTCAATATGACCACTGTGTCCATTCTTCAGCTCTTAAAATAATATTTTAATTGAAACTGAAGCTATCTCAATGCAAATAGGAAAAAAAAGTGAAATTTCAAGAAGATTTCAATGTTTGCCATCCTTAAGAATGTGTCAGGAAAATAACTTAAAAATTGCCATTGTCAAAGGTGAATTAAAATTAAACTGGACTTGGTAAAATATTGGGGGAATTGTGTTCAGCAAGAAAAGTAATTGAAAAACTGGTGGAGATTTGAAATTAATTTGATCTAGTTTGACAAATGAATTCATAGGAGGAAAATAAGTACTGCTTAGCAGGTATGTATGTTACTTTGATTCCTTAGAACGAGACAGAAAGAAGATGGGTAAGAAAAAAGTAAATACAAAGGTAGCTAACTTAAGTTGTGAAAGAACAGAGATCAGACATACTTAGTGTGAACCCAGAAAGAAAACACCAAATGGTAATGCTGATTTTTCTACAGTATTAGGAAGAGAGAAAAATAACTCCAGAGAGAAGTTCTTTTAGGGTTTATCAAGTGTGTTTCTCAGAGGAAATAGTTTTGATTAGACAGATAAGTTTGTCTTTCAATTACGTTCTGATTTTTAAAATTTTCACAGGGCACATTAAAAAACCCCAAACCCAACAAAAACAAAAAAACACAACAAAAAAACCCATAAAAATCAGGTGTGCAATTTGAAGAAGAGAAAGAAGGAATATCTTGAGATTTATCCTTTCAGTTTTCACAGCAGAGAAAATAACATTAAGCAGAAAAATCTCTGTTGGGAAATTTGCAAGAATGATTTAGTCTTTTTGTAGCAAGGTGATACTTAAAGGTGCCTGTCTAATAAAGGAGGGATCTGGAAAAAATCCTAGTATTACAGACAGAGGAATTCAGATAAATTTGCCTTTGACAAAGTTCAGTTTGTATATATTTAGATCTTTCCCAGAGGAGTCTTACATGTTTGAGTGTTCTGTTTGTAAAAGGAAGGACATATATATATAGTTACTTTCTTATGACATACCAACTGCAATTAACAAATCTAAATCATCATTTCATACTGGGTAGTTCAGTTTAGCAGCAAAGTAATAAAAATATTCTACAGAACTGTAAAACAACTATTCAATATACTGTGCTTGTAGGAATATAAAAGTGAAAAGAAGCAAAATATTGTCATTGTTTCTGCAGCCAAAGAAATCAATTCAATATATTCATACTAAAAGTAGCTTTGATTTCTGTGAAAATACACAATAAATTAACAATTTACAATGCTTCCATTGTATAACCAGGTTGGCACATATAAGTAACATTTTTTCCAACAACATAATCATCACCATATCTCATGCCATTGGCTGGGACTCCTGGATCTCCACAACTGATAACTGTAAGTAAATAGTTGAGGAACATATTTTAAAATGTGAGATTTATCTGTATGTGAGGGAAAAAAACCAAACAACAGAAACATGACAAAACTAGGCATCCATTGGGGGAAAAAAAAAGAAGGAAAAAGTGGCATAAACCTTATCTCCACCAAGAGAAGATAAAGATATGCCATCTTAATTAGCTGCCAAACACATGTGGAGCTACATAACTGTTATATTTGGAAATCATAAATACTTCAGTTCAACAATAGTAGTAAAGGACTGTACAATTTTAATTGACCGAATTTCAAGATTACAATTAAAAAAAAAAAAGAAAAAAGGCATGACATAATCCATATGCCACTACCACCCTTATATATGTTAAAATTTTTCTTTAAATCAATTGTTTCATTATTAAAAAAGTAGATGCCTATTATTTACTTTACTTTTCTATGGTATTCTAAAAGGAAACAAAATCTGGAAAATTTAAAATATATGCCTGTAAAAGCCTCCTACTTTATAAATGCTCACATAGTTGCTATTAACATAAACAGGAGAGAATATTCAGGTGACCCCCAAACATGGGCTATGGCTTACATAAAAACTAGGTCTATAGTACTTTAATGTGTGGGAGTAGTTGTAAAACCTTTTATGACTTCTAATGTCAGAAGATAATTTAAATTCTTAGTGAAATAAGATACTCATAAGGAGTTAATAAAAAGTTTTATATCATTATAATCTGAGAATAGTGTTAAAACAGGTAATTTTCCCTCAGATTTGGTCAACTGGATCTATCAATTTCTTGAACAGTTTTTAGAGTGAGTAATATAGGGAACACTAGTGGCAATGCTAAAAAGTGGTTGTTTTCAGGGGAAAAAAAGGGGAAAAATCTAGTTTATACAAGATAAAGCATCCCATGTGCTTTATAGTTTATTTTATAGTAAACTTGGAAATCACCATACATCATAGCTATTTCTTCTGGAAAACTGTAGAAGCAGTTTCCTGGGGAGAGTACATGTCCTGGCCACTTCTACCTCAATGCCAAAGCATGGCTGATGTCAATGTCACCCCTTCTGGATCTGGATCTCCAAAATCACAAAGATCCATGACTACGTATTTGTGGTGTAGCTTCCTTGTCCTAGTAACTCAGGACCTGAGAATCCAAGATATATATAGCATATCTTCTCTACAGTTTACCATGGTCTGAGTGAGCAGATACTGATTACACAGCATATATCAGATCTTAAAATGTCCCATGCAATCACTGTATGGATACAGAAGAAACTAGAAAACAAACCACATGATGGTAACATAGGGTTATCTGGGTTAGTGTAAAGGTAGCCAATGTACTGATAAAGAAAACAAGTAGCTAATGTACTAATAAAGGAAATTGGAGATCTGCCTATTTTAGTATACCTAGTAACACAGTAATTTCAATTTATTTAAAAACTAAAAAGCCATAGATTTTTCTTGGTCACTTTTCAAATAAATATAAATATAGAACTGGGAAAGACAGAACTGTCTCTCTTATTTACACAAATACTTTCAAATACTCTGAAACTTTCTTTATTTGAAATATTCCTTTTACTCTCTTTAATGTCTAAATTTTAATAAAATAATCCTCAATATTTTTATAAATATTTTATTGTTTTGACTGAATTAAAATATCAAGCTAATGCCTTTATCCTTTTTTTCTCTAATCTTTGTTTCATTTCAGTTGGACCACCTTCACTCGAGTCACCATTTTAGGCAAGAACATGTTAAATTCCTGCAGTGATGCTGACCAGAAGAGCATTTCCTGTTGAGGAGCCGGTGAATCCCAACAGGATGACCCTGGGAGCCCCAGGCTGTGCTGCATGGCCAGGGCAGCTTTCAGACCTGTGCCTGCCACACAGATCTCTGGCATGGGCAGAGCCTCAGCCAGCTCATGCAGGCAGCCCCCACTCAGTGATTACACCTCGCTGCCTGCAGGGCCTGGCTTTTTATTTAGCAGTGCAACAAGAAGCTCTCAGGAGAATATTGTTTTTGTTTGCAGAAATGGCAGCATCCTTTCTTCCTAAGAAAATCCTATACCAGCTTGCTGTGGTCTAGGTGTGCATGATGTTGCACACAGGTCAGTCCTGTTTGATGGTACACTGCCCAGGGCTCCCAGCCCGTAAAGGAGCATAAAATTATCTACACTATTCTCTTCTTACAGTGCCAGCTCTAAATCCCAGCATTTTCAATGATGTCAAAGCAGGAGCTGTAATAAGTATGGACTGGCTGTAAATTTTGATAACACCTTGAAAAGAAAAATGGTATATCCTGAATCTCCCTCTCTTTGTTTTACTATGGAGTTTCCTCTGTCAACATATTTCAAGTTAAAATCTCATGTTTCTACCTGAGTAATGTGTCTTGAGAAGACTGTTTGGGCATGTATTTCAGTAAAATTTTATTCTAAAATACAAGAAAAAATATAGATGCAGTTGACATCGCAAATCACCTTTATTTTTGGTACAATTAATCTGGTTCCCATTCTAATTTTTAAAATAATAAATAAAAACACTGGGCTATCTCTCAGGCTTTATGACTGCAAAAATCCATTAAAGATGGATTTAAAACCAAAAAGTTTTATCATCTATCTTTTGGCTTCTTTTTGGGTTGCGGTAAGTGTGTTCAAAATTTAAAAAACAGTTTGCTATACCTCTGATGAGGATATGTTTCTTCAGAATGATAGGCAGTGTCATGCATCACATAAATGTAAAATTTTCATAATTGCTACTAAAAGATGAACTAGGACATGTAATAAAGAAGGAACAGATGGGCTTGAAAATAAAGTGCTGCAAAATGCTCATTATGAATGTTAGAGCTGCTGCAATAGCTTCTGTTAGTTGGGTAGCCAAAGGAGTTTTAAGGTTAGTGAAGAGGCCAAACAGAAGATGATATGTAAAAATGGGACAACAGTTTTGACCTTGGAGTCACTACGAAAAGAATCCTCAAGTGTTCATTACAAGTTTTTTATTTTTTACTCTGGAAGAAGAAAATAGTATACTGCTGATTTTTCAAGATGAAGTAAAACAATTAGAATAAAAATGTCTGGATATGTCATATCAAAACATAAACAAGACTGAATATATATATATATATATATATATATATATACATATATATATATATATATATATACTAGTAAAGAATTAAAGTCAGTAGAGTATGTAACCAAACAATTCCGTTAAACTGAAACACCAGTCTATACATTTCACTGTGCTCTGCCTTTAGAAAACATATTCTTAACATTTGCATAGCATTATATTTTTAAAAAGTATTTAGCATACAAAATCATGTAAGAAGTAGTGCAAGAAAAAGATGAAAATTTATTGGCATGATACTTCTGCATTTTACTTTATTTATTACTTTCAGAGGAGAGGAAAAACAAAGACTATTCATTAGAAACGTGTCTTACTTGTGCAGTTTGGCAAAGATCCAGACCATGTTCCATTGGCAGTGCATTGTCTTACAGATGATCCAGAAAGTATGTATCCCTCCATGCATGAATAAATGACTGAATTAGAGAATGTAGTTCCATCAATGCGAAGTACTCGTCCGTTAGCAGTTGTGCCTGGATTACCACACTGCACAGCTATAAAGGAAAATGTGAAATATTTACAAAATGTAGAAAAGGTGATTCTGAAATAGGAAAAATTGAAGCAGGAAAAATCCTGCCAGCAGTATTATTTGGTAGAAATCCATTCTGTTGTCCTTAAAAATATAAGTTTCATCACCTACTGATAAGGTACACTGTACTGTAAAAAACTGTATATAAATTACTATTTTCCCCCCTTTGGTTTATAGAGAAAACCTACAAATCTAGCTTTATAATCTGCATTACTGAAAAGCTAGTTTAGCTGCAAAAACAAACTTCCAATTATAAGCAAATATCTGGTCTACAATTATAACTGCAGATTTAATTTGAATCATGCATTTCTAGCATCACCAAAGTATTCTTCCTAATTCAAAGCACTGAATGGAGTCAGCTATTATTTCCCAGGCAGGTGGAACCCTGATGTTTCACAGTTCATTAATGTTCAGCTTGGGAATTTGAATGTGTCCTTCTTATGTGACTACACACATATTCATCTAATCTATATGACCTAAATTAGAACAATATACCTGTGCATGCACTACCACACCTACAATTTCTGTGAACTATATTTATCATTTCAGGAAAGATATACCATCAAATATCATCTTAAAATGTATAAAAGCTGATTTATTTCCGTAATACATGAGATTGAAGAAAAATAGCAGATGGTACAGTTGGGCAAAGCATATCCCTTTTGATACCAGCATAGAAACAGATATATATATACACACACTATTTTTTTAATGTACTGTAAAGTTGACAATCATTCAGTAGAAAGGATATTACAAAACCAGTTTATGAAAAAAGTTTTTAAAATTAAATTACGCTTTCATACAGATAACACAGTCAATAGCGATAAAGTAGAAAATAAGACCACAGGTTCTCAAAGTATTTTCTTCTTTTCAAAACACTTTGTTTTGCAAAAGAATCTGTTGGGAATTATTTTCTATTCTGAAGAAAGGTAATTTAGGCAATAAATGATTCTTCAGAAATATCCTGTTATAGCTTTCTTTTGTGATAATTTGTCTACCTTGAAATTTCCAGAATTACATTTTACAAATAAACTGGTTTCAGCAATTTCTTTTCTATTGAAGAATAATGTCAACAGTATTATTAAATGAAATTTTAAGCCAACCATTTATACATAGATGTATAAATCTAAAGAAATCCTGACACTGACATTTTCCTAAAACTGGGGTCTTTTGTCTGAAATTCACGTGTATAATGGTTGTGATTAAAGGTCACATTTTACTGAGGTTTTTAAGTGAATCAATATTCATCAAAAAATTGAGTTCTAGAGGCTTATTTATTTTTTCCCTCAAAACCTGTAAACATGCAGTTTCATGGGTGCCAGGAACTAGTTTCAAATTTGTCACCTGATGCCAAGTCACTGCTACAGTGCAAAAACTTCTTTGAAAAAAATTTGTCAGTCCAAAAAAACAGCACCCATTCACAACACAAAGCTGGCAATGCAAAAGTGGTTTTCTGATCAACAGTGTTTAAAAAACAGTTTAAAAATTGAGTGGATCTTTGATTTACCTTTGCACTCAGGTTGTCTTCCTGTCCAGCTTCCATTTGCCAAACATGTTCTCTCTTCTGATCCATGGAGGATGTATCCAATGTCACAGCTGAAATGTATCGTGCTTTTAATTTTAAAATTGTTTTCTTCCCTAGACCCATGCCCTGGGATACCTGGATCGCCACAAGAACCAGCTGTATCACCTAGATTTTAGAGTACAAAAATGAGAATAAGTATGCATTTATAATGCATGTCTCTATGTATTTATAAAGAAGCTTTTATATATATATATATAAATATAATTTTTTGCAATCCCCATATGTATCAGTAGGTGTGAGACCCTATAATCGCAAAATTACTTGATCCTCCACTCATTTTTTGTACTTATTTTATAGGAATACAGAAAAAGAATTATCATTTTCTCAAATTCCCCTAATAGCATGCTAAAATTTTGATAACAGAATTATCAAATAAAATATGGGAAAGCAAGACAAGCACAAAATCTCAGTAATTTTTCATTTTAAAATAAGAAATTCTGAGGAAAACCAAGGTCCTGATTGCAAAGACAATTTTCTTGTTTGTGTATAACTAATGTTCACAAAATATTTCTTAGCTTTATGGTATTACTAGAGTTGGAACAGTTTTACCATTGAATGAACTTTCTAGTCAATGTTATGTGCACTAGACATGAAGCATTTTCCTTAATTCTAGAATTGTTGAAACATCACTTCAAAATTGCCTGATAGCTAAACTATCCCTCAGATATAAACATTCCAGAAAATTCTAAGATAGAGGATAAAAGGTAAGCATGTTTATATTCATATATAAATAAATTAATAATGTTAAATGCTATCTGTTGTATATAAATGTTAAAATGTGATTAAAATGTTAATAACACAGTAATAACAATAACAATAATAATATCTAAGATTATATATCTAAATCTTCAACTATAGTAAGAACTTTTAGGAAGTTCTAGGTAACACACTATATAAACAGCAGCTCATTCATTTGAATATTTTAATATTTACTTAGATAACCTCCTTTATTGTTTTAGAGAACTTTAAGACAGTTTTCTATGTAAAAAGAGACAAAGGTATATTATGTTACTGAGTTTCAACACTGAAGAGTTGAATTCTAGAATTCTTGGAGCTCCACTATTCAGGTTGTTCCCCATAGCCAATGTTATTTTCTAACAGCTTGCAAATAAAATTAATGTCTTTTCTAGACCAAAAATATCAACCATATAGGTATTTTTGAGAGAATATCTGCATTCCTTTTTAGTTAGTTACACTACTTTAAATAACAATGAAATATTTCAAGAGTCTGGTAGAAAGAAATAATCCTACTATGTAAATAATCTTTTATGCAGAATAGCCATACTTTTCTGGGGTTTGTCTAAGCTAAAATAGAAGTTATACAAGCAATTTTTACATAGAAATAGTAAAAAAAATTGCAAACTCTAAATATGCAAAGGACCAAAGTGACAAATTCTCTACAGAGAGGTTCTATGGGAAGGTAGGACCCTGAAGTCTTATATGCAGAAAAAAAACAAGTGTCCTGCTGTCTTAGTTGGCACTGTAGATGTCTAAAAAATGCTGTTGGGAGTGAAGGGTTGGAGACAACTCTTTACTGACAAAAGTACATGCAGAACTGAATAGTGAAGGAAGAAGAGTAGAACTAGCTTTGCTTTGAGAACTATGGTGCATGAGCAAATACTTGGCTTAGTCCATTATGTCTAAGTACATGGTACTACGTACTTAAATTATTTCAGAAATAACAAATATACTCAAGCAAATAAAAGGACTATCTGGTTCAAAATCACAGACTGAGTTCAGCTGTTCTCTGTTTAGCCATTTCATTATGTGACACAGATCAGTAAAGCAGATTGCCAGCCCTGTTTAAAAAGAAATTGAAAATAGTTCCAAATTATAGCAAAAAAAATCCCATAAACTTTCAAAATAATTTATGTCCCAGGTATTTAGATGACTTAACAACCCTCTAGTTTGAAAAAAGTCTACTTCATATTTTTTAAATAATTAAAAAAAAAAAAAAATCTTCCTAGATCAAGAGTGTTTTTTGTTGTTTTGTGAATCTGTATCTTACACTTTCTAGTAGTATTTAGTTAGACTATAATAAAATTGGGACAAGGCCTACTCATTATTCTATACTCATAAAGTTTCCACAATAACAGCTCAGTTTTTGGCAAGTTACTTAACATTATACCTAAAAGAATTCTATGATGAAAAAATGAAAACTGGTTATTTGCTATGCCAAACAGAAATCAGGTATTCCTCTTCCAAGTGAAATCCTGTGAATCCTGTGCTCTTTTCTAATGCTTAATTATTACTGTGGATTATTAGACTTTTTGTTTTAGGAAGGTTAACCTGCTCTTTTGATTGAAGGTTACAGAAATAATTTTTCTAAATGACTAATCACATCAGATATGATAGAATCAAAGGATCACAGAATAAGCTGAGTTGGAAGTGACCCACAAGGATCATTGAGTCCAGCTCCCAGCCCTGCACAGCACCATCCCCAGAAGTCATACCTTGTGCCCAAGAGCATTGTCCAGACACTTCTTGAGCTCTGTCAGGCTGGTGCTGTGACCTCTTCCCTGGGGAGCTGTTCCAGTGCCCAACCACCCTCTGGGTGAAGAACATTTTTCTAAAATCCAACCTAAACCTCTCCTGACACAGCTTCAGGCCATTCTTTTGGGTCCTGTCACTGTCACCACAGAGAGAGATCAGTGCCTGCCCCATCCTCTTCCCCTCATGAGGAAGTCGTAGACTGTGATGAAGTCTAAGAGAATGTGTTTTTATTACCTCATGCAGATTCAACTACATTATTTTTACAGTTAGTTATGAGCCATCCTTCACTCACATGTGCAACAAATTCTCAGCTGACATTTAATCTTGATGAAATGGGGGATATTTAGACTATCTACAACTCTTGTTGCATGTACGAAGAATTCTACATTGCAAAAATTTCTGACTCCATATGATATGATTCTGATATGCATATGATGATTGAAAACTGTTTCTGAATGCCAGTATATATCAAATGGACATGACAATTCCTTCTTGCTCAATGTCATGTGACAAGAAACTGTCATAAAGATGATGTTACAAAATTTAGTTACCTTATGTTCACTGATCTAGCATTTTCTTTTGTAATTCTTTTTCATATACTAAATAGACAAGCATGCTATATCTTTTCTCAGTTAAATATTGTATATTATATACTATGAATAGTATCATTAAACATGCAGATTTTAATGCTTTAATATGCATTAAAATGAAGAAATAAGTTTAAAGGCTAATAATGAAAGCTGATGATTTTACATATTTTAGATGCAAAATATAGAAATTCTCTGTCATGAACTCCTAATTATTTTAAAATGAGAAAGCATTTCAGATATAAGCTTTAAAAGCAAAACCTCAAAATTTTGCTACGAATTATAGTTTGGTGCAGTACAGTTAAAGAAAATTAGAGTTTGTATTCTGTACAATTTAATTGATTATGATTAACATTTAAATGTTCCTATGTCAAGGAATTTTTTCTTCATGTATTAAGAAATATTAATTATATCTGATTAGTTTCCTATGTAGGTAGAAAAACAATAATTAGAAAGAAATTATTTTCATGGACCTCACTCATAATATCCCAGATATTATTTAATTTAATCCCAATACTTATTTAATTTAATAAGATAAATACTATAGAATAGTCCTATTTTCAGTAGGGCTGCTTTGATATTTTCATGTGTATTTTTAGGCTGTGTTCCTTGCTATTATTTTCTATTTCTTAAATTACTTTTGTAATTCACAATTTAGATTTTTAATTTTTTTTTCTTAGAAATACTGTGCAAAACTACATAAGTAGCCTTAGATTTTATATAAAGAGGATTTTTTCCCCAAAACAAATAAGGATTCATGCTAGCTGTAAAAATATTTTTTATTAGAATAGTTCAGATTTGAAAATACATTAATATATCATTATGTATTAAATAAGATTATTTTACATTAAAGTTTGATTTTTAGTGCATATCTTTAAAAATTAAAGATTTATAAGAACTTCATCTTTGCTCTAATTGTGGCAAATTTCTTTCTGCTTTCTATTAATAGAAAGTATAAAGAATAAATTAGGTGTACATTTTTCTAGGTTTTGTCTCATTCTAGGTTCCTGAGAGTTTGCAAGAGAAGGTTCAGATACTGGAAAATTCTTCCAACACTTTAGAATTTAATGCAATATTTTAGCCAATAAACTCTGTTTTAGAATTTCATAACAATTTTAAACTATTTCTGTACCATGGGCTGTGAAATTTTGTATTCTGAAACTGCAGCTGATAATCAGTTTATAACTGAAGAGATGAGGGTGGGAGAAAAAAAAAAAACAAAAAAGTTTTGAATATGTGAGACCTGCACCTGGACTACTGGATCCATTTCTGAGGTTTCTAATACAACAAGAACAAAGATCTGTTAGAGCAGGCCTGGAGGAAGTTGATAACTACGATCCGAGGGCTGGAACGCCTCTGCTGTGCAAAAAGGCTGAGAGAATTTGGGCTGTTCAACCTGAAGGAAGGAAGGCTTCTGGAAAACCTTATAGTGGCTTTTGAATGCATAAAATATAGAAGATGTAGAGTGGCTTTTTATGAAGGTCTGTAGTGACAAGAGAAGAGCTGAAACTGAAAGAGACTAAATTAAGATTGGGCATAAAGCAGACATTTCTTAGGATGCGTGCAGTGAGTCACTGGAACAGGCTGCCCAGAGAACTTGTGAATGCAACACCCCTGGAAGTGTTCAAGGTCAGGTTGAACAGGACTTTGACTAACCTTATCTAGTTGAATACGTCCCTCCTCATTGCAGTAAGGAAGGACTAGATGATCTCTGGAGGTCCCTTCCACCACAAACTATTCTATGATGCTAGTGGCAGGTGTCCCTACCTATAACTGGACGTTGGACTAGATGATTTGTAAAGGTCCTTCTGACTTCCACCATTCTATAATTCTATTATTTACTAATACTGTAAAAAAAAATTGGATTTAAATGTGAAACTAGTATAGCATAGTCAGTTTCACATATCAGTTATTTTTCACTTCTAGTTTTGTCATAGATCTAATCCAAAAAAAAATATATCAAATATTTTCTTCTTATTTTCTGCCATTAAACATGTCTAAGTTCTCTGAATTAAATCGGTTTAAATAAGATTCAAAACCCCTCTGATTTCTTCAATTAAATAATGAAATATAAGCAGTACAGGAAAGAACTTCCACCAGTATTTACTGAGAATTAAAACTGATAACATGGTTAACCTTTATCACAGTATTTGTTTACATAGTCTGCAATAACAAAAGAGATTTCTGTTTTTCACTTGATCACTGGTCTTAAAGTGAATCAAACTGAAGTTGTGAAATACAATATTCCTAAGCAGTAAGTTTTTCAGAAAACATATTTGACTTCAGTGAGAGCTAAACTTTTACAAGGATGAGATGGTGTTCCCTCAAAAACTATGCATTATGTATTGAAATTATGTGGAGTCCGTCTGGCCTTATTATACAGATGGATGTATTACATAATCAAGTTATATCTGAGGTGTCATCAAGCCACTAGAAATTTTTCAAGTTAAAAGAAAAAAAATAAGAGAATTAACCCATCATCTTGAAGAGACAATGTTGCAAGATTTCACTGTAGAAATTCACACTCCCGTCAGAAATCACATAAATATTTTCAAAACAAACTAGTTTTGTTAAAAGTCATCTGAATGTGAAATTTATTTTTCATATTAAGTGCCACCAAGAAAGTCTACTTTTTCCAGATTATTTTCTTTCTAATACCTTATGCTTAGTTTGGTTTTATATTTTTTTTACTTCTACTGAGGTGGTAATTCAGTTTCATACATGATTTTACAGATTTTTAAATAGCCTTCTGAAAAAATCAAAATATATATTAAAAC